AAAAAAGTAATCTAAATTTACGAATGCGTGTACTGTAAATACAGTACATACTTGTATATATTTTAATATGATTTTATGTGCTTTAAACGTTTATCTAGTGATATTACGACTTCAATATTTGTGGCGGACAGACGTAAAGTCGAATAAAATGACTTAAACTTGATTTTTATTTTTCCATATACTTTTTTAACAAGCGACGTATAATCGGGAACGACGTAACTCGAAACGATGTAAGTCGAGGTATGCCTGTATTATTACAAGAAAATTACAAGAATATTATAAAGTATATTTATTACAAGAAAAAGCACAATTTTTAGATAATTACAAAAGTATTTGAATAAGAATGATAATTTTTTAGTCTTTTATAGGGTTTAGCTTGTACCATTTAGTTATTATTGATATTACATAGTGCAGAAAATTTTCAGTTTCCTTAGATAACAGCCCTTATTCTGCTATAGTATGTGATGAAATATTATTTTAATAATCAACATCATATGAAGATTTTTATTTTTCTTGAAATGAATATAAAATTATTTTCAGAATATACTTTCTTAACTGCTGTAAGAACTTTGTGTGATTTTACATCATTCATCAAAAAAATCAAAAAAATGCTTTACACAATTTATATTTATCTATATACTGTACTGTATATTAATGTAATTATTTAAAATTTAAATGAAATTTATTTGATTTAATAAAACTTATTTAAAGTTATGCAGAATAATCATAAAGAAAAAGATGTCTTATTTTATCAAAATTTCAGTACTTTCCTTTCTATTATAATGATCAAAATTTAATATATGATTGATAAATTATTTAATTTCATTTCATCATTAAATCATTAGGAATCTGAAATATGGAGACTGCATGATGTATTTTACTTCAGAACAAGTTGTAACTAGTTCATATATTGGGAATGAAAACTTTGGATTAAGAGGTGTGTATAACAAATTACTAATGTACTATATATGCCTGAAATATCCTTATGCTTTAAAACATTAATTTTATATTAATAACAATAATAATATAATAGCATGGACTTTAATAATAGAAATCTTTTTTTAGCATGAGAAAAGCTTAACATGAATAAATTTATTTTTTTATCCAGAATAAATTATTTTTTTTAGTTTCATCATCATTTGTATTTGTAATTTTGTCTTATATTTCATAATTTTGTCATATCAGTTATAATTGTGAATAATTACATTTATCAACTTTAGCAATATATGAAAATCTTGAATCAATATGAAAAATTATTATTATTATAAATAGTATGAAAGTTTGTGTTTGGTGTGAAAACAAGAAGGTTAAATGAAATTTTTATATCAGTTTTGTGTGATTATCAAAATTTGAAGTAAATAGGATGAGACATTTCCTATATGTATAATTTTATTTTTTTGTAATTATTATTTGCAATTTTATTGATTGATTAAAAGTTATACTTCATGTTTATAGAAGAGTAGAATTGTAAGATGTACATAAAATGTAGAATTTTATGTGAGATCAATAACTGGTTGAATGAAAAATATTGTCTTGTTTGAAAAGTTTATGGTATTTTGGAAAGAAAATGCAGATAAAAGAATACATCTATTAGCTCACCTGGACTTTCAATTCATCACATTACAGAAACTGTAACTGATATCTTTCCATTCTCTTCTGACATCTATCAATCTATTCAGTTTTGTAGGTTTTTCTGTATAAATATGTAGGAAAATCTTCACAGACTTATTAGACTATATGTCAAAAGTTACTGAATTACTTTTGATATTGTTATTTAAGTAAATAAATGAAAACATAATAAAATCAAATAAATATTCTGGATGTGTTAACTAATGCAACTTTTAGAAATGATTATTATTTTGTTTTGTTATTTGCATATGTTACCGTCCAAACCCGATTTTAGGCCAAACTAGTTTATCTTATGCATGTCAGGATATACTAGTTTAGCCTAGGATAATCTAGTTTGGCCTAGGCCAAACTGATTTATGTACTACAAATATGTGCCAGTGTAAAAAAAAATTATTTTGTGTAATTCAAAATGCCATCACAGTACACTCAGTGGTTGAAGCATACCTAGGTAACCTAGGTAAGACTTGAAAATACTAATTTTGAATCTATTTCTATGCATTCACATTAATGTTTTATAATTGCATGTTTAATATGTGCATGTTTTTGATACATGTTTAAGAATTATTGTTATTAATAAGTTTTACTACATGCATTATAAATTTTTGTCCAATGTTTTAAGTTAGTACTAAAAACTATCAATATGTAGCTTGCTGCTTAAAATGAGTAATCTTTTAAGTAACTAAATGTTTATTTTTGTATTTTAAAAATTAAATTTATTAATAAAAGTACAGAATAATGAATTAAAATTCTTTNAAAAAAAAAAAAAAAAAAATGGTGGCTAAAAGTCGACGGGGTGGGGAGATAAAGGAGGATCATATCTCGAGTAGGGTAGGACTTAATGATGACTTTCCTCGTTATTAGCATTTAAAATTTTTTATTAAACCCATCCCTACCCTCAAAACCAAGCTTTTTGCTATTTTATAATAGTTAAAAAATATAAAGTTTTTAAAACTAAAATATCGTAACAGATGGCGTCACACAGTTTTAATGTTGCCGGGAAAGTTAAGTAACTCGTTGCTGGATTTATTTTTTAGTTGATTTTTATTCATACTTAAGTAGCATATAAGGTTAAATTTTTATTATGCTAATTAACAAAATGAATATCAAAATATATTTTCTATTATATATATTTCTTTTTATTGTTATTTCAGATACGCGGACATGCAGGAATTGTGATAAAATACTTACCTCTTTAGAAAATATAGACGACGATGCCGAAAAGTTTGGTGTTGCATTTGTTAAAAGTTGTGAAAAATCTATGGCCAAGAAATTTGGTGCTACTTCCTTTCCAGCCCTTGTTTACTTTAGAAATAAAGAACCTTCTGTATTTGAGGGTAATTTTTTATTTTTGTACACTTATTTTTGAATTTAAATATTAAGTTTTTAATATAATCCTTTATAAAATTTAAGGTTAGCCTTATAAACTGCTTTATTAATTTTTTGTTATCAAGACAAATTAAAGATAAAAAAATTTATTCTTGGTTTTAGTTCTAACATAATGCTTAAATATAATAATTATATTCAGTCAGTAATAAAACTGAATTGATATCAATGTATGTTTTGTCAAATGATTAAATGCATATTACTAAGGCACTAAAACTGTTTTATTCAAAAATTGCAAGTACTATCGATAGTTTACAACTATCCTCTTCACGATGATTCAATTTGAGTAACATTACACTAGACAGTTTTGATTGTGTTACCAATTCTGTTGACACTTTTATCCTGTATAGCAGTGTTTTTCAACCTTTTTGAATACGTGACCCCTTTACAAGTTAAAAAATTCTGGCGACCCCCGTAGGGCCACATTAAAACTATATCAGTCATTTAAAAAATTATGTATTTAATTTTCTTTCTGTTGAGAGAAATTACTGTTGACTAAAATGAGAATTTAAGGAGAATCGACAATAACTTAAGACACGTATAGTATGTTACTTCCTTCTTATAATAACAATGGGTTCGGAGTGCTGTTGACCTTATTTATTTATTTATTTACTTTTTTTTTTTTTTGGATGAGGGTTTTTCACTTCAACTCTTCTACTTGTTACTTCTTTATACAAGTCAGCTCAACACTTTTTCGGCAATCATTTTCAGGTCCCTCCCAGGCAACACCCATCATTCAGACCTAAATGTCAATCAAAAAACCAACTGTACTGTATAATAAACAGGTACAGCCTTCTCGCTGAAATTGTAGTTTTTTGTCGCAACCCACAGGTTGAAAAACACTGCTGTATAGTGTTATAACAAAGGATATTACACTCAAAGCAATAAATAACATATATGTTCAACAATGTATTTTACATCATCAGTACTGATTGTTCTTTAATTGTTTTTAACTGATTTCTAAAATAATTAAATTTAGAAGTCAAATGTACCACTATTTATTTAATACTTTTAGGAAGTATTAATTGTCATCTGAAATTGGAATATAGAAGTTGGTATCATCAAAAATTTTAGTTTGCAGATAAAAAGATTCTTTTAACTACTTTCCAGATTTAAGTAGAAAAAGATAGACAATAATCTCTGCTATTTATTTTAAAATGTATGGAAGCAAATAAATATATGAATAATAACTTTTTAAATTATAAGGCAAAAAAGTACTTAACAGAAGGGCTTTCATCTTCAGAATCGCAATTAAAATAATGAAATATTTACATTAGAAAAATTTCAAAAAGCTACGAACTTTCATCATATAAGACTTATAAAGCAATTTATGTAATGAACAGAAAATATTAGAGTGAAAAATCAAGAGGTAAATTATATTAATCATTTAAGGTGAGAACTGAATTTGAAAGAGTTTTTATTTGGGAATCCTTTTATGATATAGATTATGTTGTTACAATCTTTATTTAAGACTTTTTTCTTCACCATCTATACATTGTAATCTCTTGTTAAATTAATTCTATTTTATTGTATATGAGGATAATCTAAGCACTTTTTTTTATATTTTTTTATTTTTGTCTCTTTTCACATTGTGGGCACTGAGAAGGCCTTTTTTCCATGCCCATTGTGGGTTTTTCCAGGTACACAATGAGGGTGATGAGGGACAGGATTTAACATATCTGTTACAGATTGTCTATGAGAAATTTCTGTGCTTGCTTCCAGGGTAAGACATTACAAAAATTGAGAGCATTGTGATGAAAGATTGCAGCCCGGCATTGTGACAATATCACAATAAATAATAGCTTGTTTGTATTTTTTTTTCTTGTTTGGATGTATGTAGGATAGGATTTCTTTTTTCTTTTAAACTTTTGTATAGATCTTATTTTTTTCTGTAAATAGTAGTTTGTGCTAGCTTTAATGACCTAAGTTTAACACTGCTCTGATTAGATTTTTATTAATTTTGTCCATAAATCTATGATATTTTTCAGTAATGTTCTAGACCAGAGGTCACCAAACTATGGCCTGCAGGCTGGATCCAACTCGAGAGGTCAGTTCATCCGGCATGCTGCCGCACCATGCCACAAACGAGCTAAAATATAATTATTTATATGGAAATATGATAGATTGTAGATAAACTTACTATGTAAAAAAAATTAAAATAAGTGTAAGTAAAAGTGTACAAATTTGTCCAATCTGATTTTTGCATCTGACATAACACAATTTTTTGGAAAATCAGTTAAATGAAAAATTTGGCTACTTTTTGCCACTTTGGATATCAGTGTGCTTTTTGTGTAAGTACTATCAATGAAGTTTCTAAGAAAAGTGATTATGAGCTTGCTACAGCCATCATGTTTGTATATTGGTAAATAAATATATTGGTGGTTGTCTTTATTTTTTGTGTATTCAGTGTATTGTATTGAACAAAAGGGTTATGCGGCCTGTGTTCGTCATTCTCTCAGTTATCTGGCCCATTGTGAAAAAAGTTTGGTGCCCCTTGTTCTAGACTGTTAGGTCATCTACAGTATGTTTCTCTATATACCTAAGATTGTTCTCCTAATAGTTTCTCTATTAACTTAATATTAAGTTAACAGCTATTTCTATCATGTTACCTGCTATTGGGAACCTAATGTTTTTATTGGGATCAATATTGCCCTTGGAACTTAAACTGGAAACTATATATAACAAGATTAGAATGTATAATCAAATTTTTTGCGTTTTTAGGTTTTTTTGCTAGATACTAGCTACAATGTTAATGAGAGTAATATCTGCTGGTTCAGTGAAGGATAAAAGACTTTATAGTCCATTACCATAAGAATAACTAAAATTTAAGCTTGGGTTTTACTTTCCTGGCTGTTATATATACATAACAAGGAAAAGTATTGGAATCGTGTTAAATTCAATTCTCAGATTTTTGATTTCTTATTCTGAAAATCTCCATGTAGCGCTGGTTCGTGCTTAATTAATTATGATACACAAACAAGACTATATACAAAAAACTTAAATTTATTATATACATGAGATATGGCGCGTTTGTACAAGTCGAGCACAGAGGTGAGAACATGGGCATCTAGAGTGAGGTCCAAATCCAAAGTGAAGTTATAGGTCAGGTTGCCAGGTCTGTTCGGTTCACAGTTCCTCCTGGTGGCGGCTTTTGGATTTATTACCAAAGCTGTTGCCACACTCCATGTTTTGAGAGCTCCTGAATCTAAAAAAAGTCAAAAAAACAAAGAAAAAATTTCATGGATGTGTGTCTGTTGGTGTCTATTCCATTTAATATCTCGGGATGGGATAATCATTAAGAAGCAAAATTTGGCATGGTAAGGGGCATTGATGCTGTCAAATTTTAGTGGCTAAAAGTTGAGAGGATGAAGAGATAAAAGGATGTCATGTGTTGTATCTCAAGGGGTCGGACTTAATGAATATGTTACTCTTTATCAGCATTTACAATTTTTTTATAAAACTCATTCAAAATTAATCTTTTTAGCATTTTATAATAATTAAAAATATAATTTTTTTTATAATGAAGTCTCATAACAGATGGCACTACACACAATTTATTTATTATAATTAAGTTATTTTTTATGTTATGTAAAAGTTATTTTTTTAACAACTGGGAAAGTTACGCAACTTGTTGGATTTTTTTAAAAATTTGCTTAGCAACAGTTATACAGATTGTAATTTTATCATTGTCTAAAGTCTACACCATAGTTACATATTTCTTGGAAATTAGTCAGTATTTAATCAATATGATTAAAAAATACAGTAAGATTGTTCTAAGAGTACTGAATAAGGAAAATTTTAGACCTGTTCTAAACAATCTTTTTTTATGTTAATTATTTGAAATTTGACTCTGCAGGTTTTTGTTTTGATCATTCTAACTCAGTTGCATTATTTTATTATATTTCATTTTCAAAAAGCACATTTAAAAATTACAGTAATTTACTGTAACTTTTAACTGTACTTTTGATGAAGAAATGTAATAAAATAATGGGCATAAAGCAATGCTTTGTTTTTCAGGAAAAATATTTGTTTTAAAAATACTTAAATTATTGATAATATATTAATTTAATAGTTTATTTTAAAATAATAATTAGGAGTTTTTCATTAGAAGTTATAATTTTTATTCGCTTACAATAATTGTTTAATGAAAAATGTACTGTACTTTTCACAAGTGAATTAATTCATTAAAATTTTACAAAAATAAAATTTATTAGAATAATGTATTTTTTTAAACTGTTATTTATTCTCTTTTCAATTTGTAATATAATAAATAACAATTAAACAATTTTTTTTAAAACCTGTTTCATCATATGTATGAATGTATAAACAAATATGTTTTAAAAAAATCATATTTTTGAAACTCCCAGATTCCATATTCAAATAAAATTTTGTAGAACAATTTAAAAATGAAATCATTTTAAAAACCTTAAAAATACTTCTTGAAACAGAGTATTTTTGATATAACTTGAAGAACAATTCAAATAGTTTGAACATGTTTTTTTAATCTTTCAAAATATAAAACTGTATGCATTTGTATGTAGACATATATTCCTATATTTTTATTTATGCAATTGAATATTTCAAAAGATCTAAAAAAAGTTAAAAACAAAAGCATGTTCTTCAATCCAGATTCAGTAGTAGTTCATTTCAGTTTTTTGAAGAAATTCTAAAAGGATTTTATTTTCAATTATTATAACAGAAAGTTTGATAACTTATCTAATGATAGAATATATTGTAATAATATTTATGAAATTTTTTAAACATGATTTCTTTAAAGATATGATGACCATTGTTATTTAAAGTTATTCAGATAAGAAATTAGAATATTTTTTTGTAAAAGATAGTAGATTATTCATATATTAATGTAATTGTTTAAACTGTAAATATTAATTATTTAATTTTTATTATATAAATAATTTAGGTGACTTGATGGATGAAAAAAAAGTATTAGATTGGCTAACTGATCTTGATTCTATGGAATTACCTGATAGAATTGAAGAAGTGAATGCAAAAATTTTAGAAAATCTCATTGAAGATACTGATTTTGTAGCTGTCTTATTTTGTAAGTAGAATAAACTTTATAATAAAACCAATTCTATTTATCATTTCAACTAATTAAGCAGGAGAGATGGTAATTTTAAAATAAAGCTGTTTTGATGTAAAGAATTTTTAAATTTACTTTTGAATATTTTATAAATAACATTTTCAGAATTTATTTTTTAAAATTATTTTTGCATTTATCAGTTTATAGAATAGCTGGGCTATTTCCAAAGTTTTGGAAATGTAAAAAATGCAGAACTGTTTCAGTAAATTTGGATATGATTCATCAGTTTTAACATAAATCAATCTTTTTTTTAACAAATTAATGCTGCTCTCTCAATCAGTAATTGAGAGAGCAGCATTAATACTTAAAATCCTCTATTTGTATTTTATTTATGTGAATGGTTATATAGACTAGTAAATAAAAGTCTAGATAAAATGGATTTCTCTTAAATAAAATTCAAGATAAGCTCATTTTACTTATATTTATTTTTTTAGTTAAGAAAGAATTAAAAAAAAAAGTGTGACTCATTTTTATTATTTAAAGTTGTAGTTAACTCCTTAGCTGAAGAAGTCTAAGTATTAGTATTGGAGGAACATTTTTGAGATAAATTTCTCAAAAACATTTGTTTAAATATTCTTATCCTTTTCTTCTGATTTGAAAAAAACTAAATATAAAATTTCCTTAATTAATTTAATTCATTTTAAAATATTTATTTTTGATGAAAAATATGTTTTAAAATTGTCATATTTAACTTTTTTGTTTTTGAAATTATATTAATCATAAATTTTTGTTTTGAATTTTAATAATTTTTAATAATTTTTAGACTTTATTTTTTATCTCTGAAATTTAGGTTTAGTTTGATTTTAAAGTGTTTTTTTGAAGTTAATTTCGTACTATATACTAGCTAAATATACTAGTTACTAGCACAATACACTAGCTTACATTTAAAAAAAAAGTTTTTTTAATTTTAGATTCATTCAATTTGTGTAATATTTGAGATGCATATAGTTTAACTTTGTGTTGCGGATGATCACTATGGTTTTAAAATATTGTGTAAAATATAAAATATTCTTGAAATAAAATTTATTTTATTCCAATTATATATTTTGATACTATATAAAAGTATTTTTTGAATTATAAATAAAGTATACAGGTATACCTCGCCTTACGTCGGTAATTGGTTCCAGGAAAACGACGCAAGTCAAATTTACTTGTCTCCGAATCTACTTATCACTAGGCTAAACCGTAAATTACCATTCCCTGTTCTGTATTTTATTTATTAATGCATTTTTAATAATATATGGTTAATAAAAATCTATTTTAAGCTTACAAACAAATAAATTTTAGTTTTTAATATAGTACAAAAAAAAGTAATCTAAATTTACGAATGCATGTACTGTAAATACAGTACATACTTGTATATATTTTAATATGATTTTATGTGCTTTAAACGTTTATCTAGTGATATTACGACTTCAATATTTGTGGCGGACAGACGTAAAGTCGAATAAAATGACTTAAACTTGATTTTTATTTTTCCATATACTTTTTTAACAAGCGACGTATAATCGGGAACGACGTAACTCGAAACGATGTAAGTCGAGGTATGCCTGTATTATTACAAGAAAATTACAAGAATATTATAAAGTATATTTATTACAAGAAAAAGCACAATTTTTAGATAATTACAAAAGTATTTGAATAAGAATGATAATTTTTTAGTCTTTTATAGGGTTTAGCTTGTACCATTTAGTTATTATTGATATTACATAGTGCAGAAAATTTTCAGTTTCCTTAGATAACAGCCCTTATTCTGCTATAGTATGTGATGAAATATTATTTTAATAATCAACATCATATGAAGATTTTTATTTTTCTTGAAATGAATATAAAATTATTTTCAGAATATACTTTCTTAACTGCTGTAAGAACTTTGTGTGATTTTACATCATTCATCAAAAAAATCAAAAAAATGCTTTACACAATTTATATTTATCTATATACTGTACTGTATATTAATGTAATTATTTAAAATTTAAATGAAATTTATTTGATTTAATAAAACTTATTTAAAGTTATGCAGAATAATCATAAAGAAAAAGATGTCTTATTTTATCAAAATTTCAGTACTTTCCTTTCTATTATAATGATCAAAATTTAATATATGATTGATAAATTATTTAATTTCATTTCATCATTAAATCATTAGGAATCTGAAATATGGAGACTGCATGATGTATTTTACTTCAGAACAAGTTGTAACTAGTTCATATATTGGGAATGAAAACTTTGGATTAAGAGGTGTGTATAACAAATTACTAATGTACTATATATGCCTGAAATATCCTTATGCTTTAAAACATTAATTTTATATTAATAACAATAATAATATAATAGCATGGACTTTAATAATAGAAATCTTTTTTTAGCATGAGAAAAGCTTAACATGAATAAATTTATTTTTTTATCCAGAATAAATTATTTTTTTTAGTTTCATCATCATTTGTATTTGTAATTTTGTCTTATATTTCATAATTTTGTCATATCAGTTATAATTGTGAATAATTACATTTATCAACTTTAGCAATATATGAAAATCTTGAATCAATATGAAAAATTATTATTATTATAAATAGTATGAAAGTTTGTGTTTGGTGTGAAAACAAGAAGGTTAAATGAAATTTTTATATCAGTTTTGTGTGATTATCAAAATTTGAAGTAAATAGGATGAGACATTTCCTATATGTATAATTTTATTTTTTTGTAATTATTATTTGCAATTTTATTGATTGATTAAAAGTTATACTTCATGTTTATAGAAGAGTAGAATTGTAAGATGTACATAAAATGTAGAATTTTATGTGAGATCAATAACTGGTTGAATGAAAAATATTGTCTTGTTTGAAAAGTTTATGGTATTTTGGAAAGAAAATGCAGATAAAAGAATACATCTATTAGCTCACCTGGACTTTCAATTCATCACATTACAGAAACTGTAACTGATATCTTTCCATTCTCTTCTGACATCTATCAATCTATTCAGTTTTGTAGGTTTTTCTGTATAAATATGTAGGAAAATCTTCACAGACTTATTAGACTATATGTCAAAAGTTACTGAATTACTTTTGATATTGTTATTTAAGTAAATAAATGAAAACATAATAAAATCAAATAAATATTCTGGATGTGTTAACTAATGCAACTTTTAGAAATGATTATTATTTTGTTTTGTTATTTGCATATGTTACCGTCCAAACCCGATTTTAGGCCAAACTAGTTTATCTTATGCATGTCAGGATATACTAGTTTAGCCTAGGATAATCTAGTTTGGCCTAGGCCAAACTGATTTATGTACTACAAATATGTGCCAGTGTAAAAAAAAATTATTTTGTGTAATTCAAAATGCCATCACAGTACACTCAGTGGTTGAAGCATACCTAGGTAACCTAGGTAAGACTTGAAAATACTAATTTTGAATCTATTTCTATGCATTCACATTAATGTTTTATAATTGCATGTTTAATATGTGCATGTTTTTGATACATGTTTAAGAATTATTGTTATTAATAAGTTTTACTACATGCATTATAAATTTTTGTCCAATGTTTTAAGTTAGTACTAAAAACTATCAATATGTAGCTTGCTGCTTAAAATGAGTAATCTTTTAAGTAACTAAATGTTTATTTTTGTATTTTAAAAATTAAATTTATTAATAAAAGTACAGAATAATGAATTAAAATTCTTTCTGTGGTATCTTTTCCACTCTTTAAAAATTTTTCTAATTTAACTTTTTCTTACAGTATTTGTGAATAGAAAACTCTCAATTAATATAAATTCATAAATATTAAGACTAATATCAATATACTAAAATAATATTTATACCAGTACTAATAAAAGTTTAATTACAATTAATAATTTGAGACAATTCCAATTATGTATGTTTAAATTTTATAAAAAAATTATAAAAATTTAAATTTAATATTTTTATATCATTTATAAACAAGAAAAAAGAAATTAATTCAAGCATGGATCCAAACGATTACAATTATTTAGTAAATAAATATCAAGATTTATTAAGTGGAATATCCTCTAGTAAAGTTTTAAAATCTTTTTTTAAAATTTACAAAAGCTATAGGAATATAATCAACAACTTAATTTGAATTTTTTAATTTTTAAATTACAATTTTGTTCTTTTTAAATTTAATATGAGAAGATGTTAAGGTAATAACTGATTTACTTTTATTTATGATTATCCTCTACATCTATGACAGTCCTATTGTTTTAATATTTGTTTGAAGATGGAAAAGAGAATTTCACTTACAAACTTTTATAATAAAGTTCTTTAGTAGAAAAATTTAAACATTTTTTTATTTTATTGCAGCATTGGAAGACATACATGGTAACTGCATTGTAAATTTATAAGTAATAATTCATTGTTCATTACAATATATTAAAATATCAATTAATGTTGCATGTGGAACAATGAAGGATTTAAAGTATTGGGACTTTTATCACTGCTCATTAGTGGGGCCCTTTTGTAAAAACAGATAACCTAGACCATAATCTTTGTAAATATTGGTTTTTTAAGCAAATGAAAAACAAAATTGATTTTTTTCATAGAAACAAACTTTCAAATGAAATAAAAGTGGAAGTGAATGAGCCTTATTTAAACATTTTAATTATTGAATCATAAAGCTTTTTTTAAAATTATAAGAAAAAAGTCAACTTTTTTTTGGGATCTCTCTAAAGTTGAGGGAATCTTCTTATTTGTGGACTGATAAATTTACTGTCAATGAAGTGTATAACTTCTTAATATGTAGATTTTTGAAAAGGTTACTGTAATAATGTTGATGAGGGAATTTATTTGAACTGTCTTATTTTAGTGTTCATAAAAAAATTACTACAGACATTAACATCATTAATTGATCTGCAAATTTGGTAAACGAAGAGTGGAATTTATTATTTAAATTTATATATTTATTATTTTATGATATTTTCTAGATCTCTCATTAAAATGA